TACTTAAAGCTTCAGAAGACTCTGGAAGTACTCAGCGCTGCAAGTACAAAAGTTTTGATAAGTAAGTGTGCTCTGATAAGGATTTCACGCTTGAAGCACTTTGCTGCAAACTCTGATTGAGTTAACTCTGATCTGAACAACTAAGAACATCATCAGAAGTTCTGATGCAAGGCGTTCCAAAGTTGTTGAAGAAGATGTTGTTCAAATAAAGATCTGTTGGTATATTCCTTGTCTTATCCTAAACGGCTCTTACCCCATTCGTGCATGGCACAGGATTTCAGACAAAAAGGATTTTTCAGAACATTCCTCTTCTGAGAAAGGAAAAGTCAATAGAAGACAAAAAGATCAGAATGCACATATTGCACAGTCATTGAGAAATGGATTTCAAAGTACTATAAAAGCAATTCCAAGCATCACTTCAATGGTCAACGAATTATTGACAAATTATTCAACAAGCTCTCATACAAACGTTCTTCAAAAGCTGAATAGTTTATTTTCATTCTAAAACTTGTGTAAAAATCACTGTTGTGATATAACTTTTTAGAAGCAAATCTTAAACACAAATTTGTTAGTTTATCTTTTGTAAAAAGATTTCCTTAAGAAGACTAAGTTGTGGTCATAATTTCTTGAGAAGACTAAGGCAGTTGTCTTAGTGGTTTACACTGTAATCAAGTTTGATATAGTGGATTAAGTCCTTGTTGAGAAAGGCAAATCACCTTAGTAGGGTGGACTGGATTAGTTTGAGTTCAAACAAACCAGGATAAAAATATTGTGTTATTTTTCTATCATCTTAACTGTTTTAAAACCCTTATTCAACCCCTCCCCTTCTAAGTGTTTTTCCCACCTTCAAAATATTCCCATCCCGACGTTACATTGATCATAGCAATATCCTACTAAGGAAACAACAAACTATAAGAGCTACCTTCCACTTAATTCGACTATGCTACTCTTGAGTATCTGCACGATGCCCATGTAAAGGCAACATTCAAATAGAAGGGGTGAGAATTAATTTTAATAATAAATGATATAGAATGTAGAACTGAACAACTTCTACACAATCATGCACAACAACATATCGCATTCTCACACCCAAATCATCATCAACATCATACAGGACAACATCTCAATTATCATCTACATCATTTACAACACCATCTTAATTATCATCAACATCATATGCAACAACATTATCATCACACATAGTAATTATCCACACATGGATTTCATTCATGTTATGCGAATCATGACACAAAAATGACTCACATGCATGTGGTACCAATCATGAACACTCAAGTTCATCTTGCTCCAGATCTTCATCATAGGACCAACGTACACTAAATTGTTATCACCACCTTAGGTAACACTTTACTGATTCCACCTGAAACCGGCAACTTCCTCCCGATCCCCGCCATAGGACGAAAGCACACCAAATTTCATTACCATCACCATAGGTAACGCTTCACCAATTTCCACCTGAAATCGACTACCCACTCCTGATCCATACCACCAAACTAGAGCACATTAAAACTAGACTGAAGCCCGTACACCATGATGCATGACTCTTAACAACATGCATTATCACAAAAAGGTTCACCAAAAGGATCCCCATACACATCTCACCATGTATGCATCACATAAATCATCATGCAACAATCATTTCATGTTCCAACTTCAATAACATCAACAAACAACAGTAACTCATCATCACCTTAACAACATCATTGACATAACAACATCATTATCACACAACGGTATTACAACAATGCAACGATTCATCAATCAAACGTATAAACCAACATATTTATTAACAAAATATGCATATGAACAATATTCAAACATTTCACCAATCACTACCACATTATAGGTCTGAGCGTTATCTTCCCAACGCTTCAAACAACACCTCATTTAGATATACAGATCAAAATTTATGGCTAAAATCGTCGAACCATGCAAAACGATTATTCTGGCCGTTATGTGTCGACACATGACTCGTACAAGTCGGCTCATGACTTATACAGGTAGGCACATAACATGTATAATTCAGCTCATGGCTTATACAGGTCACCACATAACATGTACATGTCAGCTCATGTACTTCATTTTTAAAGCATGTAACATTCTGTTAGATGTGCTGACTGCATGTGTCGACTCATGACCTATACAGGTTGACGCATGACCTTTATAGGTCGGCACATACTACTATTTTTTTTGTAAAGAATTAAGTTATTAACCACCCAAACACTACCTCATGTGTCAAAAACTTATGTTACAAAAATCCATCAAATAAATCTGATTTCTAATGGTTATAGCTTCCTAATACATCATTTACTCCATATGTTCATGAATCAACATCATGTTACAAAAACATCATCATGTTCATCATCGCTAAATCACCAATAACACAATCAAGGTCAAAACCTTCAAACATCAACCAATGGCATAACATCATTAACAACATCAAAACATAATATATGCATACATAAGGTACACAAATTTCTCATCAATTCCATCATATTCAACATGATTCATTTGCTTCAAGCACATCACAACAACAACATATCAATACACATTGTTATAATTCATATCATTGTCTATAAAACAGTATTATCATCATCAATCAAAAGAATAACAAACCCTATGGAAAGTTAGGTGTCCCTTCACTTTACCCTTCCATCATACCCTTTATTATTGATACAATTTCCAACCCTTACCTCAGTCCTTAACAGAAAATTCTGGTTTTGATTTGTTCTTTCTTCCTAAAGCTCTTCAATGAAGTCTTTTCCATGCCCTAACTTTTGCCTCTTTCGCTTCTCACAAAATTCTGATTTTTTTCTACATAAAAACTCTAGATTAACCTTTTTATCATTAACATAATCTTCCTCAATTATAGCTTTCCACCATTGCCTTCACTTATCCTCTTATTTACCACCATGCCCCTCTTAGCTCTAATTTTATTTTAATAAAAATAACACTAATGATATTTTCATTTCTTCCTACTGTTTCTACTCTTCTATTTTATTCCAATCAATTAAAAAAATAACTAAATTCCATTATTTAATTAAAATGTCTATATTCTAGTTATTTTTTAGTCATCATACTAAACATATATTTCTCACCACACTCTACCAATACGACACCCCAACAACGTATAAGATCATATATTTATTTTAATTCACACCAACATCAAATAATTAAATAATTAAACTCAAATAATCTAATTAAATAATTTAATCGAATTTGGGGTATTACACCTTTCACCCATATCTTAGCGGTATCTTCAAAGGCTCGGCACGACCCTTCCAACTTACTATCTGTCGTTTACAAAGTCATAAACCTAAGCAATGTGTACAACAATAACTTTCTGGTGGTAGCAAAGAAGAATTATTGGCTTGCATATCAAAGCGAGATAGTCTAGCACACTGAAAATATGTGAACAAAGAAAAATGGTTGCCCTAACAACACGCGTATTTGAACCGTAATGGACATGTCAAACAAAATGGTGAGATTATGTAGTTCATGTCGTCAGCTCGGACACAATCATAAAAACTATTTCAATGTTGGACCAAACTCCACAACATAATTTTATATGTAATTCATTTTATGTAACAATTTTATTTGATATTGTAAACAATATTCATTTCATTAATATCACATCATTCAGTTACGAAAATTTAAAAAACAATTAAACAATACTTTAAACAACAAATAAACAACAAGACAAACAAATACAACGACTAAACAACGTATCTATGAGATTACAACCATCAGGACAATTTCCTCACAACTATGCATCATAATATGATAATTAGTGTCAGTTTTAACTGAGTCCTAGAAATGACTTTCTCCATTGCCGTTGTACACCGTAACAAGTCTTTGATTTTTTCTGATCTTTTCACCATCTACAATGTCTCCATCTAACCAACAAATCAAACTCCTCTAAAGATGTTTGAACGTCTCTATGTTCTAGAGTCAGATTTTCATCAGAGACTTTACTACCAAATAAATCAAATTGACATTTCTAGTATATATAAAACGACGTTTTGTAGAAAAATTAAAAGAGAGACTTAGAAGATGAATGAAAAATGATTGGGAAGGAGATGCAATATATATATATATATATATATATATATATATATATATATATATATATATATATATATATATATATATATATATATATATATATATATATATATATATATATATATATATATATATATATACTAAACAACATATTAGTTACTGCTTGTGGCATATGCATGCAATGACATGATCTATAAACATTCGTTGTGTATGATAACTGTAAAAATTGAGTGCATGCGTCATTCCCCTGACTACTCATCTTGCGGTCGAATTTGTTTTGTTTTAAAATAGTTAATTCTGTTTTTTTTAAGTATGGTTATTTTAAATTTAAAAAATAAAAAAGATTGTTTAAAAAAATAAAAATTCTTATTTTACCCTCATTTTAATTATATTTTTAAAGTTATAACCCTTACACAACAATATCTTTGAAACTCAGGACGATTTTCATGTGAGTATATTTGGCACTATTCCCTGTCATTTTATATTCCGGACAAACTTCATCTCGAAATGCTAACATCACAAGATAAATTCATTAAATTACATCTCCATGATTTTGGTGTACCGGTGTAAAAAGATAATACTATTTTTTCTTCGTTTTTTATTGTTTCCGTAATAACTATCTTTTATTTTGAATTTCAACACCTTTTCGTTGCGATAGATTTAAATATAAATATATCTGTGACTTTTTCCAAGACATATAGCCACCATTGATTCGTTCAATTTTTTATTCTGACAGAAAGATTCTTTTATTATTATAATTATGATTTTTTTAATATTATTTCCATAGAAAATAATTGTTATGATTATTGTGAGTAGGTACATTCACCAAATTGCATTGCTAAAGTTTTATTTTCTTCTATAAAGTAGGATCCTATAAACTTGGGTGAATATCTCTAAGTGTAAAAAAAAAAAATCTAATGGCTTCTTCCATCAAAATCTCAAGGCTCATTTCTCGCTCAATTTCTTCTTCTACCTCATTGTTTTCTCGAGGTGATTAACTTTATCTTGTTCAATTGATGATGGAAAAACAAAATACATGTGGCGATATGAATATGAAACTTTATACTAATTTTCATTAATTGCATGATAGTACTTTTGTGTTGTCACGTTTTTGTAACTGTACTTATTGATTCTTTCTCTCACTTCAGTTATGATTATGTGTACTTTTAGATCGGAGTTGAATTTGGTTGAATCGGATTTGTCACTGTGATTTTGTTAAACGCACTCTTAGTAAGTGTCAGTGTTTAAACATGTACTTAAATGCAATTAGCGGCAAAGCTTGTTATCTGTTTGTTTGTTATTTATGTATAATCTTAGTTATATATTTAATTATTGAAAAAATTGAGAACTGGGAGAAAAACTTTCAGGTAGGAATGGCGGTTATCGGGGTGGATTACTCGCTAAATATAGCACGGCTGCTATTGTTGACGAACAGCCGATTAAACCATCGGTGCAAGTAGAGCATACTCAGCTCTTAATTAATGGAAAGTTTGTGGATGCTGCTTCTGGTGAGTTCTACTTTTTGGCTTTTCAGTTTCTTCATATTTACAGTTTGGATAGAAAGATACAATTTTTACTATTGAAGAAAAGAGGGAAACAAGGGTTGGTTTTTTTTTTTTGTTAGATTTTTCTTTTTTCTTCTTCTTTTTTTTTTTTTTTTTTTTTTTGTGGTATGTTGTTATTGGAATTTCTTTGTTATTAGGGAAAACATTTCCAACATTGGATCCAAGGACAGGGGAAGTGATTGCTCATATTGCGGAGGGTCACTCTGAAGATATTGATAGGGCTGTTGCAGCTGCACGCAAAGCATTTGATCTAGGGCCGTGGCCTAAGATGACAGCCTATGTAAATAATTTGATCGTTGCTTCTATTTTCTATTATTAAGTCATGATCTTTTGTTCATTTTCAATGAATTTCCAGTTAAATTAAGTTGTGTTTATGTTTCTTCTGGGATTTTATAGGAAAGGCAAAAGATAATGCTGCGTGCTGCTGATCTGATTGAAAAGCACAACGATGATATTGCAGCACTTGAGACTTGGGATAATGGGAAGCCGTATGAACAGGCTCGTCAAGTTGAAATTCCAATGTTGGTTCGTCTGATTCGGTATTATGCTGGTATGTGTAACATGGAATGTGGTTCTTAACGGTACTTCTCTTTGTCTTGGTGAAACAATACTGATGCTTGTATTTTCATATTTTACAGGTTGGGCAGATAAGATTCATGGTCTCACAGTTCCAGCTGATGGCGCCTATCATGTGCAGACCTTGCATGAACCGATTGGCGTTGCCGGTCAAATCATTCCATGGAACTTCCCTCTTCTCATGTTTGCTTGGAAGGTGGGACCGGCATTGGCATGTGGCAACACTGTCGTTCTGAAAACAGCTGAGCAGACACCACTGTCTGCTTTGTATACAGCAAGACTATTTCATGAGGTAAGTGATAGATTCACCATGGTTCTGGATAGAATATTATGGCGGCAGTTGATCTATATAGCCGATCTCACTTAGTGGGGTAAGGCTTGGTTGTTGTTGTTGTTGTTGTATAGCTAAAATTTCCAATTTGTAATCTTTGTTGTAGGCTGGACTTCCTCCTGGTGTGTTGAATATAGTATCTGGCTTTGGTCCAACTGCAGGTGCTGCTCTAGCTAGTCACATGGATGTCGATAAGGTACTAAAGTATTTAGTTCTGCACTTGTGTTGTTATGTGATGATTTTTGTGGTGATATGAACGAGTTTGTTGTAGAAATTAAGTTGTTTTTATATTAAAACTAGGTCCACTCTATGTATAGTGGACTATGCAGTACCAATACCTCAGACTGAAGACGTGTCTGGTATTCAACATGTGTAATGTCCGTGTCTGTGTTAATGCTCATAGCTGCGCCACCTGAAGTTATATGTTAAAATTTCTATGGATCACTATCTTGTGTAGACATTTTGGTTTCAATTGTGTTGTGACGTTTATTTGTACTTCATAGTAGCAGTCATTCGATGTTTAACTAAGACAATCTTTTGCAGGTTGCATTCACTGGTTCGACTGCTACCGGCAAAGTTATCCTTCAACTGGCAGCTCAAAGCAATCTTAAACAAGTAACTTTGGAGCTTGGTGGGAAATCTCCGTTTATTGTATGCGAAGATGCTGATGTAGATCAGGCTGTTGAGCTAGCACACTTTGCCCTATTCTTCAATCAAGTATGTACAAGCAAAGAAGTTCTTGTTGTTAAACAATTATCTCCAGTATAACTCAAAAAGCATTGTTTGGTTTTCTCTGTGACATTTAGGGACAATGTTGCTGTGCTGGGTCTCGTACATTTGTACATGAACGCGTGTATGACGAGTTTGTCGAGAAAGCTAAGGTTCGCGCTTTCAACCGTTCTGTTGGAGATCCATTCAAGGCAGGAATAGAACAAGGTCCTCAGGTAAATTGCAAAGAATCTTTTGAGTTACATTTTCACAAACGTAGATATTCTCTTGTTAATCCTTAACGCATGAGTCTTTTGAAATATCTGAATATACTGAGTTTTTTAGTTATGATTCAAACAACCAGATTGATGCAAAGCAATTTGAGAAAATATTGAGGTATATTAGATCTGGTGTCGAAACTGGGGCTACACTTGAAACTGGAGGAGAAAGGCATGGCAGCAAGGGCTTCTATGTTCAGCCTACTGTCTTCTCAAATGTTCTGGTATATATTTGTGCGCACGTCTTCAGTTAAATCCCCATCTTTGCAAATGATTATGAAAATCCAATTCCTAATGTTTTTAATCGTATTGATAACAATCACCAGGACGACATGCCGATTGCAAAGGAAGAGATATTTGGTCCAGTACAAACCATATTGAAATTCAAGTGAGAGCAATGCGTCATATTTTGTAGAGAATAATATTTCTATTTCAAATCAATGTGCGAAGCAATTAATTTTAATGTTGATTGATCTCAGGAACACTGAAGAGGTAATTCAAAGAGCAAATAATTCAAACTATGGTCTTGCAGCAGGGATCTTCACACAAAACATAGACACTGCTAATACTTTGACAAGAGCATTGAAAGTTGGAACAGTTTGGGTAAACTGCTTTAATACATATGATGCTGCAGTTCCTTTTGGTGGATATAAGATGAGTGGGCAAGGCAGAGAAAAAGGAGAATACAGTATTAAGAACTACTTGAATGTGAAAGCTGTTGTTACTCCATTGAAGAATCCAGCATGGCTTTGAGCGTATGAAATATAAGATCAATAACTGAGGATTTTATGATGAGAATGAGGATAATATCTTGTTTATTTGGTTTTTTTTTTTCCTATGGTTATTGTATGCTTGAATAATTGTCCTTGCATGTTGTACTAGTGATAATATGATTCAATAATAAATTTAGTTAACTTTTTATTGGTTGGTGCATGTTATAATAATTTTGGAAGCTTTGGTGGGTGTGTATGAAATTGAGAGAGTAATTAAGGAATGGTTTTGTTGGGTATTTTTCTATTTTTGGTTAATTGATTAGATATATGTAGGGGTGAGTAAGGGACGGGACAGGTTGGGATGGGTTATGACTAACTTTAACCCTGTCTTAAATTTTGATCGGGTTATTTTAATGACCCTAACTCGTACCTAAACACGTAAAACATACTAAGATGTAAAATAAAAAACACGATGTAAGAGAACAGATGTATTTAGTGCATATATTAAATTATGAGGTGAAAAGTGGAAAAGTCTATTGGAAATTTGGAAAACTGTAAATATACCAAAAAATTAAATAAATAATTAAATAGTATCACATGTTCATTCATAATATTAACCCGAAAGTCAATCCGAATCCATCCCATTTATATTGGGTTGGGATGGGTCTTTGGGTTGGGTTAGGTTCTGGTCACTCCTAGATATATGATTGTCAATTAGAGTTAATCTAACCCATTAGACTAGCCTATGTTTACCTATGTTTGGTGATGAAAGAAATCATTAGCTTTTCAAAATCACGGTATAAAGGGCTTTGGTTCGCCGCGTTACCAAACACATGCTAATTGGTTTAATCGGTTAGCAAATGTTTATACACACAATCTTTGATCTATTTGTTTTAAGATACAAAATTCATATTTCGGGGGCGGATGCATGTTGTGGCTAACTGCGGCTAAAGTCACATCAAAATTCTCCATATAGGAGTATAATATAATTTGGAAGAATATTTTTGAATTATTTTTTTATAAAATAAAAGTGTGACTCACTTATACATAAATTTAATATTTTTAGAATATGTTCGAAAATAAATTTCTAAATTTTAAAGATATTTTTAATTTTTCATTAGGGTAAGAAAACAATGCTTAGAGTAAGAAAAACAATTTCCACAAATTGTGGTTGACAAGAGTTTAAAATCTCAAGCCCAAGAAGATATGTAGTTTCTTTTAAAAGTAAAACCCAACTTTATTAATAGGCAAAGGAGCAAGAAATACAAATACGTGAGACAATTGAAATGGAACACACTCCATACATAGCCTATAAACAGTTTTAATAAAAAACACTACATAATTTTAAGAGACATTAAACCAGAAACAATAATATTTTTTACAGCAATTCATTCTCTTGCAAACCCATCAATGGAAATGTGGGACTAAGAATCCACAATCTAGTTACAGATGATTTCTTTGACATGTCTTTTTCTAAATCTTTTTATGGTAAAAAATTTTAAGGTTTAAAATCTCAGTTTGAGTCACTTAACCTTTGATGAGTCGCTTAATCCTTGAACCAACCCTTATTTTAAAAAATGCATTTCTGATCTGACCTGATCAGGAGGGAATCACGATATGGCCACACGCCTTTGGACGGTACCTGTTCACCGGTGATGAGAAGAAGGAGGGGGGTGTACCTGCAAGACACTCCGATGCCAAAGTAAGAAATTGGGCAGAGTGGAAGCAAAAGTACAGAAAGGGGCAAGAAGAAGAGTTACCTGACCCTCTTGAGGAAGAGGGTATTTATAGAGAGACCCCAGCGCTGGGCCAACGTCATTTGAGATGGGCTGGATGACCAGGCCCAACCCTAATGACTGCTAGGACTTACGTGGCGTAGTGAAGACCAGGACGTGGTCTTCGCCCTAGTCCAACTGCTCCTAGATCTCCAGAGAGTGGGTTTGACCTGCTCTTTCGGAGGCGGGCAGTTGGTTGATGACGTGTCCCGCGGAGGGGAGAACGTGGAGAACGTGCGCCGGACACGTTGTTCTCCCCGCGGAGGGGAGCACGTGGAGAACGTGCGCCGGGCACGTTGTTCTCCCCGCGGAGGGGAGCTCGGGAGGTTCCCCGGAAGCAGGTTGTTCTCCCCGCGGAGGGGAGGAACCACGACCGCGCTTTGGTGAGCCGGGGATGGTTCTGCTCGTCTGGTACAATGGATGGTGAAATGATGTTAGGGCGTTGCTTGTGTTCGGCGGCATGCCCTATTCGTCCCGAGGGATGCACGTGCCCGGCGAGCCCGATTCGCCTGTTGGGCCGTACGTGGTATTGGGCCTGCCGAGGTCGGGCCCATACCGGAACAGGAGCCCTCCAAGTCGAAGCTCTGGGGAGAGAGCGAGGACTTAAGGTCGCTGTGTCTGGAACGGGCACTCGTGCGGAGATCTCCGGTCGTCGGCGGAGCGGGGAGAAAGCAGGTGAAGGGGTGCGACTGTCAGGCTGCCGCCACGTGTCGTGCGTTAAGCGGTCGTAGGGGCGGCTACCCTATGTCATTAATGAGCCTAGGGTCGCTTCGAATCCCGCGCCGGGTTATAAATATGGGGGTCCCCGCTCATTCTGTTACTTTTCGCTCTGCCGTTGTGTCTGCAAAGCTTTGTCATCTCTGCTCGTCCGCCGCTTGCCGTCGATCGCCGCTGCACCGTTTGATCTTTCCTTCCGTCTGCCGCCGTTATAAGTGAGTTCTTCTTTTCCCTCATTTTTTATTTCCGTCGTTTAATTGGAATGTGTGGTCGGGGCATGATGAATGCCCCGAGGAGGGACGCGAGACCCGCCGTGTCTGGCGAACTTTCTGATGAGTGTCCCGGGGAGGATAGGCTGGTTCCGATGAATGTCCCGAGGACGGGGGCTTTCTCCGATGAATGCCCCGAGGACGGGGGCTTTCTCCGATGAATGCCCCGGGGACAAGTGCCTTTTCCGATGGCTGTCCCGAGGGGGGATGGCGGGTCGGCTTTGGATTCCCCGAGGAGGGTAGACGGGGAGCGAGTGTTTGTTCGTCGCATTCCGGCCTTTGTCGCCCTTTCACTTGACCTGCGGTGGAAGGGTGGATTTGATCCTGGCTATCGAATTCACCGATGTCCTCTGCTTTCAGGTGTAGATGTCGGCTCTGGTACCGGGGATAATGGTCGAGGACAACGAACCCGAGATTCCGGAGTATGACGATGAGCGTATTGCCCCGTCCGAGGAATGGGCGGCCGAGGAGCCGCTTTCTACCCCTTCTTGTTTTGTGGCCGATGCGTCCGACGTGTATGCCACGGTTGAGGACACGCCTATAGGAGAGCCACAGCACTGGCAGGTGTACCGACCAAAAGAACATCATCGTATCTGCTCGCGATATGGGCGACGGATGTTCCCGATGCATGAGTTCTACTTTAAAGAAGCTCGGCTCCGGTTACCGTTCTCCGCCTTTCATCTGGGGCTTTTTGACTGGTTGCGCCTTGCCCCGTCCCAACTGCACCCCAATGCCTTGGCTTTCATCCGGGCTTTCGAGGTGGTGTGTTTCTACCTCTCGGTGGAGCCGACGGTACCGTTATTTGTCCGCATCTTCCACCTGCAGCGGCAGACGGTGAATGGCCGCCACGAATGGGTTTCTTTTAAGCAATCGACCAAACTTTTCAAAGCGTATAGAGATTCTGTCAAAGATTTCAAAAACCGGTTCTACCTCGTCAAACCGATCACGCAGCACGGCTCAGACACTCTCTTCGACGAGGGCGAGCGAACGGTAGATGGCCAGCGATTCCGCGCGTGGCTTCCTAAGATACATCTACTGTGGACTGCGGAGCATTTCAGCCGAGGGACGGATAGGTATATCGTCCGAGCGGGGACCCTCGAGGAGAAGGACATGACCGCCTATTTGAAAATAGTTGCTTTGTACGGTCTCTCCCTCCGTCGAAGCTGGTGACGCCCGACGGTCGGTATATCCTTGACGCGCAGGGGAATGTGCGCACTAAGAAGCGTTTGATTAATACCAAGACCCTGCTCGGTTGTGCGACCGGGGCGGCTGCTCTGGATTACCTAGGTAGGAATGTTCGTTTTTCTCTCCGTGGTCGGGGCTTTGACCGTCGCTAACTCCTTTCTTTGTTTTTGCAGCGAACATGTCTTCCGTCGAGGAGCGGGTGAAGCAGTTGCGTGCCACTAGGAATGCTGCGGCCCCGAGGACGAGGGTGAACCAGCTGGTCGGACAGGAGGTCGCGATGCCGGGGGGGCAAAGTTCGTCCTCTTCGCCTCAAGAGAGTCAATCTCCTGCGTCTCAAGGAGCATCGAAGAGGCAGAGGTCCGAGGAGCCCCGAGGTGTGGTCGATCTGACGGTCGGTACCGCTGAGGAAGGTTATGTCGTCCCGCCCTGCCATCAGCATCCGGGTTATTTTCATGGTGCCCGTTCTCCCACTGTCTCCGCTGGGGAGGTGAAGGCTGTTCGTCAGGCCGATCGAGAGACTCGTCGACGTGTCCTGGCTGAGGACTTGGCCGCAATGATGCGGACGTTTACGACGACTCTTGTGCTGAACGAGGAGGGCTGCTCCGCTGCTGAGCTGTCCAAACTGCAGGGGGATCTTACTTTCATGCAGTCACGATTGGCCAAGCTCACTGAGGAGTTGGAGAAGAGCCAAAAGGATGTTGCTGAGCAGCGAAAACGGGCAGAGGGTGTTGAGGGGAAGGTGACTTCGCTGGAGGAGAAGCTGGGGACAGCGACGGCCGAGGTGCAGGCGCTGAAGGTTCGCACGGAAGTTTTGGACAGCGCAGTCCGTCCGACCGAGGACGAGACAGATGGAGATCGACGGTTAATCACTCGTGCTGACCTGATTGCCCGTATCCGGGTGTTGGAAAGCGACTGTCTGGAGGCTGTTGAGGTCGGATTCAAGAGTGCTGTTGAGCAGGTTCAGGTCGCCAATCCTGGTGTCGTGCTGGCTGTGGACGGGATCGGACCGTACCACGAGATTGTTGACGGGAAGGTGGTCGATCCCTATCTTGTTATTCCCGAGGAGGAACCCGCGACTGCTGACCGGGCGGACG